TTGTTGGATGTCTTTCCCACGTATATGATGCACATTAATTTGCAAGTAATACTATCCATGGTTCTCCAAAGTAAAAGACATTTAATTGTTATCTTGGTGTCATTTATTACTGCTTCACGCACAAACACAAACACGCACACGCTGTACTCGCGTGTTCTCATTTATTTTCACCTGGTTAATCTAGGTTCAGGTACAGCACGTTTTAAAGTCCACTTTCTTTTTTTATCATTAAAATAAAGGGTTCAGATTCCTGAGAGAGGGTTTAGGGTCTCAGTGTTTTGGTGAAGTATTAGAGGCTACACCTGGATTTACCCGTGGTCTCCAGGAAAAACCAAACAAACTGTGACTGTATTTAAAACTTTACAAATATAAAATTAATGAGCAACAGGGACGTTGAGCGTTGGTGGTGGTGGTGACAATGATTATCGTACGTTCTCTTCAATTTGAAAGTGCGAATCACGACAACCTCAGCCTGGAGGAAAAGTCCACTTAGCGTTTACGTCCACTTCACATCACTTCCGCGATTTCCAGAGTTTCACACACTGATTTGATTTACATGAGCGCACAAATGTCTTTGGAACTGTCAAAAGATCATATTTGATCATATCATATCTGAAACTGAGCAGAAGAGATATTTATCTCGGTGACAGCAGAGTCCACAGGGAGTTTCATGTGCTTTAAATAACTACTTACATTGATTCCCCACTAACAGCCTGCTATGTCTCAGTATGAACAAGAACCACAATAGATTTCAGCTTACTCAGCCTGCAGTCACGAATGTCATGCCACTGTTGCCTTCAATGTGTCTTTTGTGTCCCTTTTCTCACGCATACACTCCCGGAGATATGTCAGCAACTTCCCCTACTCCTCTGCTGTGCAAGAAGTCGTCCATTGTTTTGTTTTTTCTGTAATCTTTTTTTTCTTTTTAGGTATGCCTTGCCAGTAAAATGCTGGAATATTGAAAGGATAGCATCAAATCAGTTTCCTTTTCTCAGCTGACAGGAGTGACACCTGGTGTGGTCTTGTGCCGCACAAGCCCATCTGCTTCAAGGTTTGCGGTGCAGGATGCTTGGATGTAATGAGTAGTTATTGAGTTACCTTTCTATCAGCTTGAAGCAGTCTGGGCATTCTCATCAGTCTCATTTATTTTAAAAAAGCCTCTATTTTTTGGAAAGCATCCATTACAGCTGCAGGTTATATGGTGCAGGGCATTCTGTGTGATTGTGCAGAGAGGAGATCAGCAGAAGTCTGATCTCCTCACCTCCTCAGGATAGGAGACCAGCCTCCATTTTTATGCATCTTTTTACAGTAGTGACCTAATGATGGCTTAGGTCACTACTGTATATAGTAATAAGTGTTGTGTGTGTTTTCTAATGTACTAACGTGAAACCTGCGTGTCGAGCTTCTGTGGTGACCTGCTGGGGTGTGTGACATAATCAGAGATTAATTAAATCCATCTATGCCAAACTGACATAACATGTCTGGTAAATTCTGAATAACTGATAGAGGTCAGGCTTAAATGTTTAATTTTATTTTTGCTTACAATATTGTTCAAATATTTTAGAATTCAGCAGAGAAATTAGATCCAATCTCACATCACTGCTGAAAATATGATCAGCCTTTGATGGAAGGAAGCCAAAACACACTCAGAGAACAGTGAGTTACTATCGCACATACAGCACAGACCACCTAACACACACCTCAATGTCTGTGTGCAATGAGGTGTAAAGGGAGGAAAGAGTGTGTAATGAGGAAGGAGCTAAAACGCTTCTTAAACTGGTCAAACTGGAGAGCTGACACAACCTGTAGAAAGCTGTAAAGAAAAAAAAAGGTTTTAAAATCCCTGTTTGCATAAAACCTTTCAACAACACTGAATTTTATGTGTTTTTAGTTCAGCTGTGTGTAGCAAACATCAGCCAACAACATGAAAGACACGGTGTTTGAAGCCCAGATGTTCCTCCAGTTTCGTGAGGCCGTGCTGTCTAAATTTCACGGAGTTCCATTTGACGTGTAATTATTAACAGTTAAATGACAGTGTTGCAATATTTCTGTGATCCATTGAACATGTTTAAAAATTAATCCTTCTATAGTTAATCTACAGACAAGCTCAACTCCTCAGCATAGTCAAAAAGTACACTGTGGGTGTTTCCACTGTGACCTCCAGACTGCTCAGTGGACAGGCCTAGTTCCTGTTCTGAGCTGTCACATGTGGCAGCCGGTGGGGTCTTTTTGCCCATCTACTTCAAGGTTTGATGTGTTGCATGTTGCATACTGTGACTGTAATGAGTTATTTGAATCATTTCTTTCTTCCAATCAAATTAAAGCATTCTGGATATTCCCCTTTAACCTTGGGCATCAACAAGAGAGCTGCTGCTCACTGGATGTTTTCTTTTTTCGAGCACATGAAGACCAAAAAAAAAAATGTTTTAACATGTTTATCAACCAAATGATCAAAATTACAAAAAAAATATCAGTTTATACTGTTTTTATACGGTAAATATGGGTAACAGAGTGGACATGTTTCCTTTAATGCATTTGTGAAATATTGTAAAACATGAAATTTTTGTTTTGATGAAACAATGACAGACAAGTTTGTTCTGGTAGATGATCTTTATCTCCAAAAAACTCGCTGTAAGTTGTATGACTAGATGACCAACGAGGGGAACCAATCGAAAGGAATAAGGGGGGGGGGAGCTCAGGCAATTCAGCAACACGACAGATTTAAAATACTTTTAAACATTTAAAAATTGTATAGAATATTATATTTATTTATTTTATTTATCTATATATTAATTTTAATATATAACTTATATTGGTAACTCAAGAAAAAACTAGATAGCTATGGACATGGCATTTTAGGCTACATTTGCTTTAAAAAAAAAGTTTTAAAAATCTGTAATTATTATTGTCAAATTGAAAAAACAAATGATGGACAGTTTCTGTCATGGGGACTTACATGGTGGCACCAAATCTCTAAACTTCACAAATCTGAAAGTTAATCAACATCATTTACTATGTGAGCTATTCGTGGGGGCGGTGTTTTTGTGCCTCCTCTTCAACTTTAAGCCTCGAAAGTGCGAATCACTACCTCAGCCTTTAGAAACAATCCCAGCTAACGTTTCCGTCGTCGTGTAGACCCCCGACTTCCGATCTCTTCCGCGATTTACCGAACTGTACGCTTCATTTTTTCCTGAGTGGAGAAAAATGGCTTTTGAGTTGTCCGAAGATCAGTTAAAAACAGCGGAAAACGAGCTGAAGAAATATTTACCCATGTCGCAGCAGGTAT